GTTATAAGCATTTCTGTGTGTCCAGACACCCCCTATTAAGATGGAGCCCCCTCCTCAAATATGGGGTCTATCATAAACCCGTTGGCTGGCACAGTGTAGGTCGGACTCATCTACAGTCCTGTTAAATTTCATGTTGATCGGTGCAGCGATTTTTKTGCTACAATTGAACAAAAATCACAGAAAAAAGAAAAAGAAACCGTACGAAAACATTGTGACCTCCTGTTTTGTGTTCAAGTATTTTAAAATACAGTATAAAAATAAGGACACCTTTAATAAGGCATCCAGCTTTAAATAACATGAAACTAATTAGATCATACATCGTGTCCTTTTCTCCTCAAACAACTTAAAACCTGTCAGGAAGTTAAATGTCCAGTTATAATGAAGCATCTGCTGCACGTCACAGCTTTCATCTCTCACATTTAATCAGTTTTACTGTAACTTGTGTCAGACTCAGGAAGAGCGGGTGGATGTGAATCTTCCAAACGAAGCCGGTGTGACAGCAGTGATGCTCGCGGTCAGGGACGTCGACCTGTTTGAGGGCCTAACGAAGTGGTTGCCCTGGGAACACAGACCTGTGGAAGTGATCAGGAAACTGCTGGAATCCTCAGCGTGAGGATGCAAACATTCACACACGATAAATGAGCTGGAGACATTTTTTGCACACGTATTTGACGTTTTCTGGAAAGCAACAACTCGATTTAATGTCGTCTTTTCTGCCCTTTCATGTTTCACCAGTGATTTGAGCGTGCGAGACCACAGAGGCTGTTCTGTTCTCCATTATGCAGAAAATATCTGCAGCCGTCACCGAGAGGAGATTGTTTGGATTCTGACTGATGCTCTGGGTCAGACAGGGACACAAAACTGTAAATATAAAAATCTGTATACAGGTTACGAGAGAGTATTAGGGCCACACATTGAGATTTTTTTATTATTATTACAAGAATAATGTCATCAAATTATGAGAATAAATTCATAATATTATGAGAATAAATTCATAATATTATGATAATAAAGTCATAATATTATGAGAATAAATTCATAATATTATGAGAATAAAGTCATAATATTACGAGATTAAAGTCATAATATTATGAGAATAAGGTCATAATACGATGAGATTAAAGTCATAATATTATGAGAATAAAGTCATAATATTCCAAGATTAAAGTCCTAATATTACAAGATTAAAGTCATAATATTATGAGAATAAAGTCATAATATTATGAGAATAAATTCATAATATTATGAGAATAAAGTCATAATATTA